GGGGACCGGGAACTACTGTCGTTTGTTGTGTCAAGGGCGATTGACCATTATTTCCAGTTATTTCAGGTGGGCACTTCGGTGTAGGGATATGTTTGGAGTTACCATGTTCCGGGAATGGGCTTCTGGGCGGGAAATATTGGGTGGGGCCTGTTGGGTAGGGGGGTTGGCTTGTTGCGATACCTATAGCGTCAGCCATGACCGGAAAGGGCTTCCTGGGGGAAGGGGAGCGGGACTGGTGAGTAGTAGCTTCTGGGCCGCGGTAGCCGTCGAAGGTTGGGAGAATAGGCGGAGGACGTCGGGGTTCTGTCGGAGTAACTATTACCGCCGCTGTTAGTGTTGTTGTTGTAGCGTACGGGACGGCTGAAGCTCTGGGGTTTGAAGTTCTGGCCCGTGGCAGGGTCCAGGCGGTTCATTTCCACGTCGCTCGGCGGGGACACTTCTTCGACACGGCGGGTTTTGGCCGAATCCCAGGTTGGCATTTGTGGGAGGGCGTCATCGTTGGACTTCGAACGGGGATGAACTGTGTCGAATTGGGCGAATTTGGCTGGAGTGGAATGGTGGGAGTCGTAGACGGGGGGCGAGGGGGGCCGCTGGTAGCCCGTAGAGTGACGTCGGTTTCGAGCATTGTAGGCGGAGGGCTCATCGGCGAACTTGGTGCGGTTGTGCGACTTGTCTCTGGAAGGGCAGCAGCAGCTACAGCATGCACAACATCCCTTGCAGCAGGTGTAGCCGCAGCAGGCGCAGGCGATTATACCCCAGATGACACCAATCAGGATGATGCTGCCAATGGCAATGCCGATGACGACGGGCCATCTGCGTCGATCGATTGATCATTAGTTCTATTTGTCCCACTCTTTTTCTTTTAGGGATTTGATTGAAAAGAAGCAGGAGATCGTACTTGCAGTAGGCCTTGGCCATGCAATTTTCCCACGTGGAGAATGTAGTTCTGAAATCTCGAGGCTGGAGGATTTCGTCCCGGCGGAAGGGGGTGAAGCCCATTTGGTCCATGATAGCCATGGCGATGGCTACACGGTCGAGGGAGCGTATTCCTTTGTGTATCTATGTATTAATCGAGCTTCTCGGAATGAATGTACGATGCAGATGATAGATCTCGCCGATATCAAACTGGAGAAACCATTGATCAATTGCTTTTGGCGCAGAGCGGTTGGTCGTCGAGATCCGGTGGAGAATCGACAGAGTACAAAACGACTTAAGGACGAGATATGCGGTCTAACGAGAGACGTGGAATATAATGAACGTTGTCGCAGTGAGATATGTCTGCTCATGAAAAGAAAGCGTGTGTGTCTATCGATCTATCTATAGACAAGAATAACATACTAAGCGGAAAGGCGCAGGACTCGTCATAGAGGCAGATAGCATTGGGTAATAAGTGGAGACTAGCGCTAGGATGAAGGAGGGTGAGCGCCCTATCGCCGGAATGTCAAAGAATGAATGGACTGAAGGCCAGAAGCAAGGTTGGATAAGAACAAAAACGAAAGGTAGAGAGACTGTAATGGGGATAAGTTAGAAGGGATATTTAAGTGAGGAAAAAAGGGTTGGCGGTCGTGTGGTGGTGATAACAGAGTGTGGCCAGACGGTGAGACGGGTGCAAAGCGAGATTGTAAGAACGCAGCCACAGCCAGCAATCACAAACCACCAGCGAATTTGACGGAGAGATACTGTGGAGACGAGAAGCACAAAATTGGAAAGCTGAAGTCCGAATCAACAACACAGCATCCCAAGAGGCGAAACGAAGGATTGTTTTGTTTCCTCGTTTCAGTTTCTGGGTCGAACACCTTGTAAATAAAGACCGAACCTTGGAACCGCGCCCGTCTAAGGGGTCCCAGGCACCGTGCCCCTGACCGCGGATGATTTTTGCCTTTCTGCCCTGTCAATTTGGGCCCGAGATCTTCGTCTTGACTGCGACCGTCGTCTTGCTTCCCCTCTTTTGCCATTTCCCTCCTAGCGCGTCCTTTACCTTGCTCAGTGACTCTCCATCGCCAAAAAAAAGGGCAGGTTATTGTCTGCAAGAGACCGTATCACTTCGTGGCAGTGCAGTTGTATAGGCCAGCCAGGGGACGTGCGCTGACGATGGAACGCTGAGCATTCAGCGGGGACTCCTCTGACTCTCTCAGTCCTCTCCGACAGGCCGTTACTACAGCGTATTACCAGCTCCAGACACTAAGCCGTGATAGCACTGCACAAGGAAAAGTACTTGACCGTTGCCCGTCGCCCCTCTGCTGACAGCTCCCTGACTCCGGCCTGATTGCGATCGCCATGCTGCATCCGCGCAGTTGGCGCAGTTGGGGGGAAGGGATATGTGTAAAAAAGCCCTTCCCTCACAGGGACTGCTTTAACTAACATGTAGGGGGTTACTGTGCCCAACCATGCCTGTACTCTGGAAGGCTCCGGTTAAAAACTGCCCCTATACTCTGTGGAGGAAGTGCCCCCTCCGAACCCAACTGTACTCAGCCTCACCCAACCTATCCCCACTGCTCTTGGCACATCCACTTATGATCGACGTCGCAGATCAGTGGTGGGGGGGACGTCACCGACGATGTTGCGAGCACCGGTACAGTCCTGCAGGCTGCACCAAGAGACTGTAGGGCAATAATGGACAAGCCCCTATTGTTTCAGCAATGGAATATCTCATCGACAATGCAGGGGCTCGCTCGTTCTCTCGCTTGCTTGTCAGGACCCTTCCATGCTCTCGATAAAAAGGTCCCGATGAGCAACCCTCCTCGCCCTAGCTGGCATTCCTGGTATTTCCGACTCTAGCGATGTCGTCCAACAACCCTTCAGCTTCAGTACATCTCCCCCTTGGAGTGATGGATGTCTGCTGTCCTGGGCGCGAACCTGCACATGCAGTATGCGTGGGCCACGGAACCAAACCGAAAGATGTGATGCAGGAGTAGTCATATACTACGTACGTGTATCAGGGCATCAGAGCAATCATGGCGTATGCGCATTGCGACCCGTCTAAACTTCCTTTGCGCTTTGGAAAGTTACTTTTTTCTTTCTCCCGAGTGCTTGATGTCGTAGGTAAGCCACAAGTAAATGGTAAAAGTATCCCCCGTAGTTATTAACTTATTTAGCACTTTCCAGATTTGAAATCTTGCTAACAATGTTTGGGTTCGGTGGTTTTTGTGGTATCACATTTTACATGTATACATATATACATATATATATATTCAAAAAAAAAAAAAAAAAAAAAAGGTGGGTTCTGCAGCCCTTCCATGCTCCTTACGACTTGAATTTACAGGATAATACAAAATAACAATGATAGTATAATAGTAATGATAATAATAATAACAATAGTAATAAATTAACCAGAAAAGTAAAATAAAACCAAGTAACTAAGTTCACAGGTTCAATTCAAATTTTAGTTTGTACTCCTCTCCCTCATTCAAATAAATCCATCCAATCCATCAATTGGCAGAAGGCCAAAAAGAAACAGGGAAAACATGATGTCATTCACGGTCATGCGACGAAATTAGCTGCCAGATGCTATAGTAATAATAACCTCCCAAGCCCCAAAGAATTAAACCAAACATAATTTTGTTCAAAACAGAAAAGGAGAAAAAAAGGGTGACAAATACAAAATACAGTACAAAGAAGGCAGAAGCGGTTAAGGAAAGGGGAAAAACATATTTTTAAAAAAAAAAAAAAAAAAAAAAAAAAAAAAAAAAAAACCCTAACTTGGGAAAAAAAAGGAGGGTATCATGTTTTCCACTTGTGTTCGACCCTTCTTCCACCTTTCTCAACCAAAAACTCATTATTTACTGCTGCAATTTTTTTTTCTTTCTCTTTCGCTGCATTCTATTCTCCATCCTACACCCCATGACTCACTTCACAGGCGCAGGAGGTGGTCCAGGCGGCGATGAATACACCCGCTCCCCAGCCCGATGGACATTCTGCGGCTGTTGCAGCTCGACGCCTTGTTCTTGCGGCGGCGGATATTGGTATGGTGGTTGCTGCGGCTGGCCGCCATAGTAAGTGGGCTTGGGGCCGTAGTAGCCAGAGTTTGGCGTGTATTGTGGCGGGGGTCCGTTGGGGGGTGGAGGCGGATACTGCTGCCGTTGTGGCCAGAATGTGTTCTGCGCGGCCCAGCCGGTGCCGCGGAACGGTTGCAGACCGCGACGGCGACGACGGCGCGAGGAAATGCAACTGTTTGTTGATAGTTAGCTTTTTGCCTTATATATATGTGTGTGTGTGTGTGTTTGGAGTTCATATGGAGGACGAACGCAAAGATGAAGAAGATGAAGAAAGCGCCGAAAACGAGGATTGCTAGCGCGACCCAACGGCCCCAGTCTCTCCAGGTTGTTCTGCAGTATTCGCGTCCGAACCGTTCATAGCAACTAATGGGGTTTGTGTTAGAATTTGAATTGTAATGATACTAGTATTCGATAGGTGTTATATGGTGGGGTTTGGAAGGGGAGTTAGTAAAGACTCACACATATCTACGGAGAAGAGGCATTTTGGCGATGGAACGCTCTCAGAGGAGGAGAGAGAGAGGTCCTTCTCTGAAAGGGACGATGAAGCGGAAGAGACTTGCTTGTTGTGTCCGATTGCTCAATAGATGTTGCTTGTTAGGTGGGACGAGACGGGAGCTTGTGATGAGTTGCTTGAGGAGGGAATGTGGCTGGCAGATTGTTTATAGGAGCTTCACTGGCAAAAGGTGATGGTGGTGATGGCCGTGGAAAGGTTCGCTTTATGACGATGGCCAGACACGGATGGAGCGTGGCTGAGCACGCCGAGCCGAGACCGGACCAATGTATTTCCGGTGGCCCGCATTGAGCGTTGGCGGGCAGTGACAACAACCCCATTCCATATTGGGCAACGCGCGAAACCTTCCGGGATCATGGCAAGCGCCGAACGCCTTCCCAGCCAATGAAAATGCCGAAGCTCTCAGACATGGTGACTAATCCTCGATCAACGCTTAGCCACTCGCCAGCAAGCGCCAAGGCTGAAGTGCTCTGGCCTGGAATCTGCGCGTTAGTTAGCTACAGGAGGCTCAGCATTCATTCGTATCAGTTATCGTCTCGCTCTTTTGCCCGACTTGGGGAGGGCTTCGAAAGACGGAGTTGTCTTGCAGCGACTTATAACGGCCAAGATGGGAGTCAGGATCTGGGCTGATCCCGAAATATCCTTCCATCACCCGGATTTGAAGCTACCTAAAATAACGCTGATCAAATCTTATCTGTGGATTCCAATGCACCATCCAAGGTTCAGGGCGCCACTTGACCATGCAGAGATCACCATAAGTGTTGGCAACCCCACTACAATCATGGTGCAATCATGGTGTCTTTTTGGTGATAGAAAAGTAGTGGGGTTTGCCAATACTTATGGTCTAGCACAGTCCTCTGTGAAGAATTTGAGGATCACACCGACATTCAGGAAGGGAGGAAAGGTGGAAGGGAGGAAAGGTGGAAGGGAGGAAAGGTCAACTATGTATGTGATGTGTCGAGAATGGTGCATGTTGCTTGATGCGCACGCACAAGCTTTTTATCATAAATAACTACGGAGTACCATGATTTGATTACTGGTACTTACTTAGATGTACGGGCCATCAGATCAAACTGGCTGGCTAGGTTTAGGGAAGGGCCCCAAATCCCATAGGCCCAAGATGATTGATTCCATTCCACATTCCAGCCAAGGATGGAACTAACCTTTCCCTGCACTGCCAACGCATCACTTGGTCTGTGCTCGGCTGCTGGCGTAAACAAATGCTGTGGTTGCATCATATATATATTACACAGTGCATCGAAATAAAATTTTTAAGGTTGGGTTTTCGTTCTGCTCAGATGATGTTTGTGAAACTAGGTCCGTCTCTGGATATGAGATCGTGAGCTTATTTTTATCACTTTCGTTAACTACGACAATATATACCCTTCTCCAGAACAATTCATCGTTCGTCTTTGAGGAGTGTACCAGATTGAAAATACCAAGCTAATTACACAATTTTTTGCTAATAGGCAGTTGTTCCTTCTCCGTCCTTTTTTCCCAATGGTTCAGAGTGAGTAGCCGTCATATTATCCCCAGATGGATAGGAGGAAATGATGGGTCGAAAAAAAGGGAAATCTCGATGAAACTAATGATGAAACTGTCAATTACACATAGAGACGCAGAGAGCCAACAATCCGATGTTTGCAGTTAAATCTCACACCTCCCCATATACAGTCTCCTCCGACTCCCGTTCCTCCATTCCTATTCCTCCAATCCTCCCTGCACGAACGTGTCGCACCAACCACCTTTAAAATTTGCCTACCCAAACAGATAGAAATAAAGGACCCTAAATGCAAAAGCAGGAGAAAAAGTGGGGCAAAAACGACGAAAAAAAAAAAAAAGATGAAAAAAGATGAAAAGGAGAAAATGACCCTTTCACCCGCTTGCTTTACTGGAATGACAAAGCTTTAACATTAACATATCAATTAAAAACGATGACGAGAGACAATAATAAACGGCGACTAAATGAGAGAGAACGGGACATGGGAATAATTAATCCAAAACGTACCCTAAACGTTTTGGGATAGGAGGAGGATGCTAGAAAATAGAAAGGAGATTAGGGCAAAGCGTCACTATCGTCACAAACGGTCCGAAACGGAAAAAAGGGGGAAACGGAGTCAAGGAACAAACAGAGACAAAATGTATGGAGCCCCGGGACGGAAACGATGTATGGTAAGGAAAACGACGAGGGAGGGCGGCGTTCCGAGCATTTGGATGTTAAAGCCAAAACAACGGCGACAGAGCCATTCGATGAGATGGAAAAATTAAATAAATAACCGGTGTAGACTTGAAATCGGATGGAAGAAAAAGAAAGAAAGAAAAAGAAAAAGAAATGGCATGAGTGAGTGGATGTGCGGATGGGCGAGTGGCGGCGGTTTCATTTGCTTGATCGCGCGATTAACCAGTGGAGCACAGCATCGAGGTTCGTCTCCTCTTTGGCACTGATACCATAGCAGCTCACTTCACGATGCATGATGGACCTCAGATCCATGGTTTCAATCAATTCATCGACGGAAAGCCTGTTGGGGAGATCGGACTTATTGCCCAGGACCAACAGCGGGATTCCGTGGAGTGACCGTTTGCTTACAAGATCATGAAGCTCTTCCGTCGCTGTTGGCAGCTTCTCCTTATCAGCTGCGTCCACGACGTACCTGTTTTTTTGTTTATTGTTTTTTCAGGAAGGAGTCAATTCTATGTTTCTCGAAGATTCTTGACAACATCCGCCTTACTGAAAGAGGACGAGTAACTGCTGGGGAATTGGGATATTGAGAGGAACAGCACTCACAACAGTGCGTTAACACCCCGGCAATACCGTTCCCACATTGGCCTAAATCTTGGCTGGCCTCCAAGATCCCAACTATATACTCTTGTTAGAACGAGGCTGCACTAGGATGAAATGATGGAATTCCATCCAAGAGGTTTGATCAGGCTGACCATTTTAGTGTGACATGACCTTTCTGCACCCTCGCGGTGTTAAATCCGATAGTGGGAATAGAACTAACGGTGGTGTTAGTGGAAAGTATGGTAAATCTACAGGCAGACATCACCAGCCGCTCCCTTATACATACTCTACGGTGAATTCCCCACCCTGGCTCCCTTTCAGTTAGCACAGCACAATATAAAGCGATATAATATGAGGCTTTGTCAGTGCTGATAGGAAAATATTGCCTCACCGCTAAAACTCGCAACAATGACGACTTTCCGGCATTTTGCAATCCGATCATCGTCACATCCATTTCGGTTGCCCTGAATCACATACACAATTTGAGGATGGCAAATTAGTCTATCTTGCCAGGGAAATGTGATCATACAGCGATGGCCGGAATTTTACACCGCTGGATGGAATCTATTGCACGGGGATGCTCGAGGCGCAAACTAACCAAAACTTTCTGAGCAACCAGTCGTATATACTTTTGAAGAAGCCCGCCATCGTGAAGCTGCTAAGTGCGGATAGTCGTGATGTCCAATATTCAAGAGGTGGGCAGGCGTCCGTCAACCAGGGCGCAACGAGAAAGGTTTGGAGGTAAAAAATCCTGGCTCACAGTAATTTTGCGCAGTTTATGTGAGGGGCCGAGAAACGGGATGAGTAAAGGTAGTGCGTGAATATTATGGTGGTGTGTACAAAAATATGTGCACCCAGAAAATTAGTCGTGGGATGTGGCGTCTGTGAAGAAGGGTAAGAGACGGATCTGCGGGACGAGCACACAAATAATGACGAAAATACCTTCTTTTATTTTTGAGACAGAAGTGGAAGGTATAATCCCGCATCCAAGGCCGAAATGGAGGCGTATAGAAGCCCGGATGGCAGGCAGAAATCCAAAAGATAAATCAAACGTAAACCGCCACGCATTAAGGCACCCGAACAAACTATACGGCAAGCATGCAAAACCAGATCAAGAAAATGGATGCGATGGATACATAGAAAAAAGAACAGAAATAAAACCAATAAATGGTAGGGACAGCGACACCTAACACGCAGGAAAATCCGCTTTTCCAGCGACAATCCGTAGAGTCGCAAGGAGCTCGTACACCAGCAGGGGAAAGAGAGGGAGGAGGAAAAAGAGAGAGCTTCCTTTTTCCAGGCAATCAATTAACGGGTACAAAGTTTTTGGCACTTTTATGGCTGCATTCACCTCCGCGCGAAGTATGCCAGTGTACACATGACCGCAAGTGATGTTCTTGACGCCGAGTGCGAGGGTACGCTACCGGGATTCGCGGGCGGCGTTTTGACCTTAAGAATAGTCCCTGGTCCCTGTTACTGTTCCTTGCGTAGTAGGGTAATCAGATTGAAATGTGCAGTGTGCATCCGCCGGCGTAGCGCCCACCCACGCAGACATCAACCTGTGTTTGAGGATGAAGCAGTGACGGTGGAGAAACTAGTCTAGCGGGCGCTAAGTAGGCAGCTTGGGGGTAGAATATATTTATGCCTCCTGTTCACTGGCGCTGCTGTTGATCCTAGGAAATAACGGAGGTTATTGGTTGTCTTGGTGGTTGCCGAGAAGGTTGATGCATTTAATCATCATCGACCATACTGGTATTCTTCTTCATCGGTGGTGGTTGGTCGTAGATTGAGTTTGCGGCTGTTGGGGAATTCGTAGTGGTATCTTCACGTGATGATAGCTTAGTTCGTCGAAAAATTTTGCTCCGCAGAATCCCAAGGGAAAAAAAAAAAAAATGTAACGCAGTTTGGGAAGGCAATTCAACGGAGCAAAAGGAAAGCGAGAGTGCACTCAGTATTAGATGGTCTTTCCACTTCCTTCTATATTCTCAAATCTTGATTTCGCGTTGTTCCATCCATCATGGCGGCTTCACCCTAGCTATCAAAAAGTTTAACGGTTTCAATAGGAGGCGCATTTGAGCTCGCACATGTGTGCGCTGCTCCAACCTTTCCACGCCTCGGATATTTCCTTCTGCTTCAATTGCATTTGGTTTGGGTTTAGCGGTCTACCTACCCCGCCATGGCACCACCTACAGCTACGGAGTGGTCGATTGAGTACGACACTCTCCGGCGTGAACGGTTATTCCGGCATCCCCCCAAGGATCACACTGCATATCCGTCTCTCGCAGCATCCATCCGGCCTCATATCGATTCCTTCAATGCCCTATTCGATAATAACAAAATCTTAGAGGCTGCGCTAAAGGACATTGGCACCAAGTCATTTCTAGACGGAGATGCGGAAACACAGGAGCAGAAGCGGGTTAGGCTGGATGATGGGAGAAGGAGCCCCCGAAGAAACAAGCTCTCAGTGCGCATTACGGAACTGTTTCTTGAGAAAGCCATGCTTCCGGCATCAAACAAATTTAGCACACGGAACAGAGAAATTTACCCTTCTGAGTGTCGAGAGAGACATGCGACATATCGCGGCAGATTAAGAGCGCGATTAGAGTACAGGGTCAATAATGGCGAGTGGAAAGAATCCGTCAGAGAACTAGGCCAGGTCCCAATCATGTTAAGGGTGAGTTTGCAAAGCTAAGTTTCTAGAAGCATACTGTTGTTTCTGCCGTTTTCTTTTTCTTTTTCTAAATTGATATGAACAACTGAATTAAACTAATAAAATGGTGGTACAGTCCAATCGGTGCCACCTCGAAAAGTGTTCGCCGGAACAACTTGTCCAACGAAAGGAGGAATCTGAGGAACTTGGCGGCTATTTCATCGTAAATGGGAACGAGAAGCTCATTCGAATGCTGATTGTCGGAAGGCGGAATTTTCCCATGGCCATCATTCGTAGCTCCTTCACGAAACGCGGCCAGACATATACAAAATACGGTATTCAAATCCGTTCCGTTAGGGCTGATCAGACTTCCCAAACCAACGTTTTACATTACCTTAGCGATGGGAATGTGACATTCCGCTTTTCTTGGAGGAAAAACGAGTACCTTGTCCCAGTTGTGATGATATTGAAAGCACTCGTGGAAACGAATGATCGAGAAATTTTCGAACGGCTAGTTGGTCGTGAAGGGTCTGAGGGAATTAAAAACTCCTTTGTCACTGATCGGGTCGAGCTACTCCTACGGACGTACAAGGGATACAAGCTTTATGGAAGGGACGACACGAGAGCTTACCTTGGAGAGAAATTTCGGCCTGTTTTGGGAATGCCCGCAGACATACCGGATGACATGGTCGGCGCGGAATTCCTTCGAAAGGTCGTATTACCACACCTCGGTAACCAAAATGTGACCGAATCTCAAGACAATGATAAATTCAACATGATACTCTTCATGATCAGGAAGCTCTATACCCTGGTTGCAGGAGAATGCGCTCCAGATAACCCTGACGCTGTCTCGAATCAAGAAGTGCTACTTGGCGGTTCTTTGTATGGGATGCTTTTGAAGGAGCGTCTAGAGGAATGGCTGAGAGCCTTCGGTCCCATTGCGCGTGACTGGAGTTTCAGGAATCAAAATGCACGATTCTCAGATCCAAGGTTTGAGAAGGAGTTCCTCAGTAGAATTGTGTCCAGGACGAATGAAAACATTGGTGGCGCACTGGAATATTTCCTCTCTACTGGTAACCTCGTCAGCCCAACTGGTCTGGACCTACAACAACCATCTGGTTATACCGTTATAGCCGAAAAGATCAATTTCTACCGGTTTATCAGTCATTTCCGAATGATACACAGGGGAAGCTTTTTCGCGCAGCTCAAAACGACTACAGTTCGTAAGCTTCTCCCTGAGAGCTGGGGATTCCTTTGCCCAGTTCATACCCCTGACGGAAGTCCGTGCGGACTTCTAAACCATCTAGCCCATAAATGTGAAATCGCAACAAGTAATTTGGATGTCTCTGGTGTCCCTCAACTGATATCGGATCTCGGAGTGACCTATGAGTCTTCCGTGTCTCTGGATGAATGCGTGGTGGTCCAGCTGGATGGCCGGATTCTTGGTTACTGTTCCCCGAAGCAGGCTCGCATGATTTCTGACACACTCCGATATTGGAAGGTTGCGGGCAATAAAAGCCTCCCCGTGGAACTTGAAATCGGATATATTCCCAATTCGAATCGAGGGCAATATCCAGGTATCTATTTATTCTCCCAGTGTGCGAGGATGATGCGACCAGTCAGATATTTGCCGTTGGATAAGCTTGACTATGTTGGGCCGTTCGAGCAGCCGTTCATGGAAATTGCCTGCGTTCCGTCCGATATCATGTCCGGTATATCTACCCATGTGGAATTCGACCCTACCCACATCCTTTCGATTGTCGCCAACATGACTCCATTCTCCGACTTCAACCAATCTCCCCGTAATATGTACCAATGCCAAATGAGTAAGCAGGCCATGGGAACTCCCGGAGCATCGATAGAATACCGAACCGACAACAAACTTTACCGGCTACAAACTGGACAAACACCTGTTGTTCGAACCCCTCTCTATAATAGCTACGGACTCGACAACTTCCCTAACGGCATGAATGCTGTTGTGGCTGTGTTGTCATACACTGGCTATGATATGGACGATGCTATGATTATCAATAAATCGGCTCACGACAGAGGATTTGGGTGGGGAACAATTTACAAAACAAAAATTTACTCCCTCGATGACAAGGAATCTCGTGGTCGTGGAAAGGCGAGACGAGAGGTTAGCAAACTCTTTGGATTCGCACCGGGCAGTCTGATTAAAGGAGAATGGCGACATGCTCTGGACGAAGATGGCCTCCCCCACATCGGCGCTCGTGTGACAGAAGGCAGCATCGTTGCCGCATGGCATACAGTCCGCTTCGACCCAGTATCTAACTCCTACACCAACATTGACGGACAAACCCACCTACTCAAGTACAAAGACACGGAAGAGGGTTACATTGACAACGTGCGCATCCTTGGCTCCGAAACGGGTGGTGACCCTTGTCAAGCCATCAGTGTGAAATTCCGCGTCCCCCGAAAACCAGTCATTGGAGATAAATTTTCCTCCCGCCACGGACAGAAGGGTGTCTGTTCCCAGCTGTGGCCTGCGATCGACATGCCCTTCTCTGAAACAGGCATTCAGCCTGACATCATCATCAACCCGCACGCTTTCCCCTCCCGAATGACAATTGGTATGTTCATCGAGTCCCTGGCGGGCAAAGCTGGCGCTCTCCATGGTCTCGCGCAGGACTCCACCCCATTCCGATTCTCGGAGGAACACACTGCCAGTGACTTCTTCGGAGAACAGCTCCGCAAAGCCGGATACAACTTCCACGGCAACGAACCTATGTATTCCGGCATCACAGGCCGTGAATTTGCCGCAGACATCTACCTAGGCGTTGTCTACTATCAGCGACTCAGACACATGGTCAACGACAAATTCCAGGTGCGGACGACGGGTCCCGTGAATGCATTGACGGGACAGCCCGTCAAGGGCCGTGCGAAAGGTGGTGGTATCCGTGTCGGAGAGATGGAGCGTGATTCACTTCTCGCCCACGGCGCCGCTTTCCTCCTGCAAGACCGGCTGATGAACTGCTCGGACACCACCCGCTCGTGGATCTGTAGGACTTGCGGCTCATTCCTGTCGACTCAGGTTGTTGTTTCTAAGTTCATGGCGCCAAGTAAAAACCCTGCCATGGCCGCTGTTGCGAAGTCGTCATCTGGGCTTGGACGGCCGGGTGGTGCTATGGGCGCTTTAGATGGCGGTGCAGGGGTTGTGCGCTGTCGTCGCTGTGCGAAGGAAGCGGTCTTTGACGACCCCCGAGCTGAGGTATGGGAAGATGGAGAGGGGAGGAGGTTTGTTGGTGGAGATGACACGACGGTTGTTGCTGTGCCAGGCGTGTTGAAGTATTTGGATGTTGAGTTGGCGACTATGGGCGTCAAGATGACATTCAAGGTCAATAATTGAGTTGAAAGTTGACGGAAGGGTTTGGATAGTCTAAGAAATAACAAAATTTTATATTTCTAACCACCTCTTCGCGCTCTTCAGATCTGGCGAAATTATATCTTGCTGCGTACGATGGCGCATATATTTAGTTGAAGTTTTCCAGAATATATCAATCTTCAGATAATTTTTCTCCATTTTCCTCCTTTTTATGCGCTTGCCGCACCGTTCCTCTTGATAACATGTTGGATGAATCAAAGTGGAACGGTAGAAAATAATTTAATAGGCCTGGGTTGTTATATACCGTCACTTTTCATCAGTCTTGCGGTATTTTCGGCGAATTAAAGACTTAGTTTTAGGTTCATTAGAACACATTTGCCAAAGGTTATGAGTTGTGGAGCAACCTCAAGCAACCTCAAGCTGGGACGGGAAAAGATGAAAGAAGAACAAGTTGCCGAATTCTGCCGAACTTTATTTTCTAGCAAACTAAATGTAACACAAATGGTAGAAGCAAAGGGAGCAAGAGCTCAATCTCATTAAAATAAAAAGGAGAAAGAGTCACCGAAAATATCGATGCGCATTTACTGAATCGACCCGGTAACATTCGAAAACTCATTCTTCTCCAACTTCGTCTTCCAGAATATCGGATTGGTATCGCTGAAACCATGCTTCTTCCATCCTTCCTCCTTGACATGGTACAGATTGATATAGCCACCGGAGTAAGCATCTCTGTGCGTCGCAGCAAGGATACTCCGGCTGCCCAGCTCCAACGCTTCTTCATCAGTTAAGTCATACCTGTATTCCGCATCTAGGACTCCGTATGCGAAGGTTTGGCCAGAGCCGACGCAGAAAAGGTTTCCAGCCAGTCGTGTTCCATCTGAATCGATGTAGTAGAGCGCGGGACCCTCTTGGGGAGTTACACCTGCGCACATGGTGCCCATGCTTAGTCCCATCCCCTTGTAATTGTAGACGAGGTTGGCGAGGATTTTGGAGGCGGCAGCGACGGATATGCGCCGTTTGTGGCGGAGTTCGTGGAGGCGGCATTGCATGCCCAGATAGGCGAGCCAGTATTGACAGTCCTAAAGCACAAAATGCGGGTTGTTAGTTGTTCCTTTCCCCCTTGGATTAGATTGAGTTGTCCAGCACAGGAGCCGGCTGAACTATACAAGTAGAAACCAGTAACAACGGCAATGACGCGAATATGGGGCTGGGATGTAAAGAGCATGATAGTACATACAGCAGCACCACCAGCCATAGTCCCCAACAGACAGCTGTTGATTTCGATAACTTTCTTCACGGTCTGGCTGGCGATCCAATTGCCCGCCGTAGCTCTGGAATCCGTTGCCACGATGATCCCTCCTTGAAATCTGAAAGCGAGAGTAGTGGTGCCATGAGCAATTTTAATGGGGCAATCTGGGTTGCTATGGTCGTCGGTAACGGCTCGAAGGAAGACAGCAGGCTAGATATATGGAGAAAGGAGTTGTCAAAAGCGGATCTCCAAAATATGAACAGCTGAAGACAGGAGGCAAATTCTCCTAAAACGTCACCGAGACTTACTTTATCGACTGGAGGAAGGGCGAATTTTAGAGATAGAGGCGGTAATGTCTCTGTAAGCTCTTGCTCTTCATCATGGGAGTAGCCTTCGTGCTGGAACTTCGGCCGGGAGTATTGGGCGACGAGGGTGTCCATGACGGGCAGACAGTAAGGGGTTCTAAATAAAGGAGCAACACAGAAATGAGAAGGAGAGAAGGAGAGAAGAAAGAAGAAAGAAGAGATAATTAGTATACAGGTATCTAGAGTTGTGGTAGTTGAGTGTTGGAGCTTTGTTGAGCTTTGAGATGAGGTTGCTCGCCGTCGCGTCACAGCTGCCTGTATCACGTGATTTGTTGGTGACACCCGACCATTCGCAAACAAGCTTGTACAGTGTCACAGGTAGCACCTTAAACTCGGGGGTATGGCCGAGTGGTCTAAGGCGCTGCATTTAAGTTTTTCAGGAAACTCTGCAGTGAACGTGAGTTCGCGCGCGTTCGAACCGCGCTGCCCCCAATATCTAATATCTTTTTATTTCTTAATTCTCTCTCTTTTTCTTTCCTTCCTCCTGTTCTGTACGGTTGGTTGCCCTTTCTGCCACCCTGTTTTACCTTTGAGCGCTCGTGGCCTAACCCGCGTGAAGTATGCCATGACTTAAATGATCTGTGAAATTTCCCATTGGGACAATATTTACGGAGTACACTTCAACACCATTCTGTTAAGGATCCTGTCTCAAGTATCACTGGAGTATTAAGACTATTATACGTAACTACGAGAAGTTAGGATGAGTATTGAATAAAACATTGCATACGATGCCCACGCCAACGCGCCAGCAAAGAAAAAAAAAAAAAAAAAACACCAGCCAAATACACTTGTACCATTATGGGCCTAATCATATAGACTTCTCTCCCCCGAACCTTTCTTCAATTTTTGATCTCAGTCAATTACCTAGCTCATAATTCCGCCAGCACGCACACGGATATAAGTTACTAACCATGCTTTGATGAGCAAATGAAACGCAGAGCAAACGAGCCAAGTAGCTACCTGCTGGTTCTTCCAAATTCCCCATCTTCCCTCATCCTCCTATGCAGGGACAGGCTGAGCCATCGAAGATGAAGGATGGGCGTCCTTGTGATAAGAAGAAGATTCTTCCTCTTCATCGCCGTTAACATGGCTAACAGGCATTAAATTTGTTCCCATATTTGCTGCGGCAGAGTGGATTGGCTCGAGACTGGGCTCCCAGCCTCGTAGATCCTGCTCGGCATCATTAAGGACCTGGCGAGCCTGATCCATTTGTTCATAGGCACTCCGGGTATCTCCGGGAACGAGCGGGGTGTCATCTAGAATATTGAGAAGACGACGACCATGGCGGGCGAGAATGATTTGCTTCTCTGCCCTTTCGATGGTAGCGGCGAGATGGATGTCAAATGCTTCCTTGAGCTTTTGACGGGTCTATATCGTCGAAAAGACTTAATCAGTTGCTGCCAAGTAAATTGAGCAGCTTCCAAGGGGGGAAAAGGCGAGGGAATATCAGACTTCGATTGTGAAAACATACAACGTTCGTCAACTGGGCCTCAGCCACCAACATCTGTGCTTCTGCCCTCACCAGCTCCTGTTCCAAGGTCACTAGCTTGGCGTTATTTGGATCCTTCAACTTCAGCTTTTGGATATCGTCCACAACACGCGTTTTATAGTCCCTGGAAGGCTGCACCGAAGCCTCCGTATTGCGAATCTGCTTCAGCACATTCCGGTAGTCCTCCAAATTCTGCGCGTACAGATCTTCCTGCTCGCCCATTTCCGCAAGTAGCACGCCCATCTTGTCAGCTATGTCAGAAACTGCGAGATCGCCTGTGGATTCGCCCCAGTCAGATAGCTGCGAGGCGATGGAGACGCGGTCTCGTCCTGCATTCTCATAGGAGCCGATGGCATGGTTCTCGGCTTTGATAAGCTTGTAGAGCCTCCGGCATAGTTCGGGTTGCTGCGTGCCACGCAAGGTGGCCATGCTGAAACGGTGCTTGACAGGGCGATCCATGACCGTGCTTCTTTTGCTGCGAACAGAACTTGAGCGGTGCCTGTATGTGTGTTTTTTTTAACGTTTTGTCAGGCATATACAGCTTTTCCTATCACAAGGTCCTGATGTAAAGTAAACAAGAGTAGAGAGGGGGGAAGTTAAGTTTTTTTGCTCACATTTCAAGCGAAATATGTTATATAAGTCGTCTTGCTTCTTTGATTGTACCGAATACCACGTATGAGATGGTGAGAGATATATAGTTGGTTTTCTTCGTCCCGATCTGACCCCTTTTTCTCCGTGATATGTATTGTACTGGGAATAGAACGTAGTGCGAGGTGAAAGACGCTCTTTAGACCAGCAGATTGACCACTGTTAGTCACAGACTGCCAAATGGGATGGGGAAAGAACAAGTCATAGAGCAACACAACCGGTTTTTCCCCCTTCATGGCTGCTGCCCTTTGTGCTCTATATCGCCCCCCTCGTGATTACTTCTCGACGGCGGCAGAGTTCAATTGCATTGGCCGCTGACGTCACGAACAGATGCCACTCTAATGAAAGTTGATGCGGATAGAAGCATTTGGTTCTGGGTTAGCAAATAGCTAATTTGTTGCCAGTGCATTGTGTCATATGGCTGATGGGTTGCCAACTGGGGTATCGTGCGGGAAGCCCTAATTCGAATCTGGGTCACTAAACCATGGATTCCATGGCTTTAGTTTTTTGCCCTTGAATTACTGGTATGAATACATGCAAAGTTGTTCAATGGTTGGAAATTAGATTTTTTTTTTTGCCTAAAGAAGGGTGTTTTTGGATAACCGCCTGGTTCCGCTCCTTGGAAAAACTACCTTTATCACGTCACATCATGCAGATGGGAGTAGAAATAATACGAAAGCAACCCACTTACATTCACACAAAATCATAATATGATGCTAACCTGAATAAAAATGTAAAGAATGAAATTAAGTTACTCTACATAACATCTCTCCAGAAAAAAGAAGCAGATCCAAGTTCAATTTGGCTACCCCGTTCATCCACCTGTATCGATTGTCAAAGAAAGAACGCCCGTAACAAGTAGGAAACATTGGCCTCGAAACCGCCTCCTTAAAACAAGCATAAACAAGTATCCACCAATAACAGTGTATGCACTCTCAGTGCTAGAATCAGTCGAAATTGAAGCATCGCAATCTCCGTGCAGAAAACGCAACGTTTCCAGGCAATTTATATTCCATTTTCGGTATGGACTTCCAAAATTTGGCTTGTGTCGACATGTTGAATTCGAATCGGCGGAAGCAAAATGTAGAATGCGCTGGTCGTGTCCTTCGAGAAACGTCTATACCTGTCCTTCCAGTCGTTCAATTTAGTATCTCTGGGGGAAAAAAAGACCGGGCTATGTGTAGCGAGTACCAGGTAGCAAACAGTCCACTGTTCCTCAACGGCGCGGGAATAGGCACACCAGCTTCGACATCTCCAGCACCTCTAACCTCCTCAGAATAAACTAATACCCCGCATGGGTAGGAGCGTAATCCACAAACTCTCCCATTCGCTCCCATTTCCCCCTCCTATCCCCGATAGCGTAGGGTTATATCTCAGCCTTAACACACAACCCCAGCATATCCGAGGCTTCCAATCAACATACACACCTGCACCCCAAAATAGACGAAGGCCGGCACCTACACCTGTAGCTGGAATAGTATGGCAGTCTGCTCCGTGGTGGGCATCCGGGATAGATGGTGATCGGACGTGGACAAATTGGGTATATAGTACATTCGGTCAACGGCCGGCTGCATATGATCGGGATGCGGCGCTCACACAAAAGGGAAGAAATGGGGTAGACACGAATGCTCCGGGAGGGATTTGTGTAGTAATAGCAGTCGCAGGACTTAGGGCAAGATGTATGAGAGTGCCTCGGACAGGGTTTGGGCCTGGGTTTGGGGCAAGTGCAAGGGGGAGAGTGGGATTTGGAGGAGGAGCCTGAATTAGAGCTGGAGGAAGAGCTGGAGAAAGAGCTGGAAGAGCTGGAGCCTGAGCTTGAGCAGGAACAGGAGCGACAGGAACACATTGCGCCTGCGTTCCAGAGAGATAGGGTTCTCTGCTGTTTTAATGCTTAGCTTCACGGGTGATTTGCGACTTCAAGTACAGATTCGTCCGTCTGGGTTGCTTCTGAAGTTTGTAATAGGTCGCTGGCCGCTGTTGTAGCTTTGAACCTTGGTAAATGCATCAGTTTTAGCATTGAAAAATGGACGATAATATTCTTGCGAATTTATGATAAGTCCCAGCGCATCAGACTGGTCAGACCAAAGAATAAAGGAGAGGCATCATGAGAAGGTAGATAAAAGATAGAGGGTATCCTGAGTAATGTAATATATAGAACTCCAATAAACCTCACCTAGCACTCTTGAATCAAGCTAATATCGTCAATGCGTCATGATATTGTCGGTTATCAGCCAAGTAGAAACAACAGTATAGAGTTGTTTCACCCGTTTAGCCCCGGTCCCAGGGCTAGCAACCAAGAAAAAAAACCACCAAGTTCGCAGAAACAATCACCAAACTGGGCACGCAGTGTGTTCTTGAAGATTTCGTCTCAGGAAAATAATAAGTTATGATGTTCAAATAGGTAGTTAGTTAATGAGCGAGAAGAGGTGAAGAGGTAATGACAGGAGAAGTTATAGGATGTTGGGAGGGTGGAAAGGATCATAGCACGGTTCTTGTCCATGTGCTATGCCATTATATATGAAGAGAGAAACCCGCGTGCGCACTCCATTCATTCGTTTCACTCGAGGCTCCCACCGCCAGGACGCCTGCTTTGTTTGCTGAACATTATAGATGTTCTTATTATAGAGCTGTGGACGAAGTTGGTATCACATTGCTCACAAGCTGTAGGCAAGAGGTGTCCTCCTTCGTCCTTCGAGAATTTCACGGTAAGCAAAATAAGCACATGCCATGGGCAGCATGTCGCATCTCTTGCTACTTCATGATATCAGCATATCAATCAGTGATCGATCGGAGAGTTGTAAGTTTAAGCCCGGCCGCGGTAGAACGTCGTCTTGGTGCCCCTCCCCAGCCACACCACCCTTGTACCTTTTCGCTGGGCCGTGAGTATGTCACCCTGCCTTTGGCACCCCGTCATGTCCGTCCTGCAGGTCCCATCAAACCAGTGTGGACTCTGTTGCTATGACATAAAGGAGGGTGTGGCTGCGTCGTGATGACAACTGAGAGTAGTGGGTTGTGATGGGTGCATGCGGACAAGGCGGCGTTCGTGGGAGGTCACATGATACTTGTCACCAGGACGAGGTTGCGATGAGTTCTTGAGGCGGATGATATAAGAGTAAAGGAAATCAAAGTAATGGTATCTAAATTATAGGAACAGTAGATCAAAAGAGACCAGCGGGGAGCCTTTTTTTGTTTGAATAAAATGGTAGTTATGTGTGAAAGTAGGAATCCAAGATCTTCTACGGAGTACGGAGTATGCGAATCGCGCTTAAATCTGCCGCGCTGATGAATGCATCCTTATGACTGGCCGAATCCCATGCACCTATCACCAGACAGCCTATCATCATGGATCCACAGAATTATTCCAAAAAGCCCTGAGAGGGAACACGACGAGCAAGAGAAGCCGGAAAGTGCAGTAAAATAATACAGCAATGATGATATAAAAATGGAGGATAATGCAGATGGTTTATCAGGGCGAAGAAAATATCACCCACAGGGATAATAAAAATAATAAATAGGAGGAAAATAAAAAAAAAAAAAAGACCTAAACACCCTCTACCATCAACCTGTACTTCTGTTGCGGGAAAACACAAGGTATATCAAATAAATTACAAGGAAAAGAGAGAAAGAGAAACAAGAGATCAAGAAAAAGCAAAAGAAAATGGACGAAATACTCCACATTTCATTCTTCATACTCATACAAAACGAGCATAATCACAGTCCACAACCAGCTAACCCTTCCAATATTTAAATTTTGTTTAAAAAAAGGAAACAGAAAATAAAATCATGAAATCTCTTCATTCTCATTTTCATTGTCCTGCAACTGCTCACGCTCCGCCTCCGAAGCATGAAAAGCTTCCCCAAATGCAGAATTATCGAGGTCTCCCATTCCCAAGTCGTCATTTTGCTCACCGTACGCCGCCAACGCATCGGCAACGGAATCCAAATTGCTGAATTCAGCTGCATCGTCAAAATTACTTGTTTCTAGGGCGCTAGCTTCGCTCAGGTCGGTATTTGCGGCAGACTTTAGTCCTTGAAGCTCACTGACTGGTATGTCGGCTCCAGTTGCTGCTGTTACTGGTGCTGGAGCCGCTGCGCCTGTCAATTCTGTGCTCGTAGGGTGGTTGTAACCTCCTTCGATAGCGGAAACAACAGCGATACTAGCATCCTGTGGCGCCGCGCCCTCTTCCTTGCTGACGATCACCCATTCACCCGTTTGGTTTCCTGTGATGGTGGTGGCAGCAGCAGCATTTGCAAGCTCAACTCCACCCATTTCGACATCGCCACTACCATCTGGTTTGGAAGGCTCGGTGGGAAGTGGCAGCCCCGATGTCGACGGTGTTTGAAGGGTGGCGCCTGCTGGAAGAGCTGAAACCTTTCCAACTTCAGTCTGCTGGGTAGTTGGAGCAGCTACCGGGGTTGGCACCGGACCTGCTGAAGCAGCATGTGATGGTGACTGTTGTTGCTTGGAGTCAGCTGCTTGACGTAAGCTCATGCCCATGTCAATATCTCTGCGAGAAGAATCACTAGTAGTTTCAGGCGGCACCACTCTTTTCTGAAGACCTCCTTCCTCAACACAGGAAATTTCTGTGATGCGCACAATCGATTTCCCCAAAGCTTTCTGGAGGTTGTTGATGATATCATCAACCTTCGCCTTGGGGCGGTTGTCGGAATACTCAACCGGAGGCGACTCCTCCCTCGTAGAAGTGTCTAAATGTCCCTCGACTCTCCAGAACTCGTCGCCCACATCTTCTGGGTCAACGTAAGCATCACGGAGAGCTAGTTCAGCTTC